GGAGAATCGTAGCAGCAAAACATTCGAGCAGCGCCCAATGGCCCCGCTCGAAACCCAACGACGACGCGCCGACATAACCAAAAGCACGGCCAGGAGGACGAAAAAGCACACGAGCCAGAAACATGAGCATCAAACGGCCGTGGACGATTCCTCCTCCAACGCTGGACCCCCTCGTCACGTTCCGCCCCCAGGCGTGCGAAGCCGGCCTGGGGCGGCGCCTTCGGAGGGTGCCCTGCGCTTGCGAAGAAAGCACCCTCAGACGTCCGAATCACCACCGCCTGGAGGTTCGATCTCCTGGGACCTCGGCATGCTGTGGATGTTAAGGGAACGAGCAATGGCATGAGCATACAAACTCGGCAGTCCGAGCTTCTGTTTATGTCATTGTTCGCACCGCCTGCCGAGGTCTCCGAAGACCGATCCCGCAGGCGGCGGCTATGAGGAAGCCCAACGCCTCGGACCGTAGGTCATGCCCGTGCGCTTCTTTCGGCCTCCGAATAAGTGCACTTGCATTACACGTAGGCTCTGCCATCCGCCCGCTTCCCTTTCCCTTAGGATTAGCGATAAAAGGACCCCTAACCCCTTGGGAGGGGGCCCAAGTTAGGAGGGCCAAAAACTTCAGGAATTGGATGTGTTTTTGTTCTGCTCATGTCTCGAGCCAAACCGTCCAAAATGATGGTCCCTACTGCCGAGCCGGGGACCTCAGTGAGGCCACGCCTTGACTGCGCAATTGGGGTAAGGGGTTCTCTTCTTCTCGATGATCTGAAGCACCCGCCTGCCCGCACGGCGGCCGCGGCTGGCCCGCCTCACGTGCCTGCCCGCCTCCCCCCACCTGCCCCCTCCCGCCCGCCCCTGCCCCGGCAGGGGGACGGAAGCCACGTGGGCGAGGAAGTCCGCGCTCTGACCGCAATGCCGTGATCGGCATTCCGAACTGGACCTCTGCGTCCGCATCCCGCGGGCCACGGTGCTCGGAGGAGGATGGTCGGGAGGGGGAGGGGGAGGGGGAGGGGGAGGAGGGGGAGGAGGAGGAGGAGGAGCGGCGCTGATGGAGAAGAGGGAAGGCCCCGACGAGGGAACACCACTCCCCCAGCCTTCTCCCACCTCGTCCTCCTCGTCCTGTTCGTCCTTCACGAATTGTCCTGGTAAGTCCTCGTCCTCCATGGATTGTCCTCGTCCTTCTCGTCCCCTTCTCGTTCTTCTCGTGATTCCCGTCCTGATAAATCCTTGTCCCCTTGGTCCATCCTGAGCTGTCTTCGTCCCTGCTCGTCCCTCTCGTCCTCCTCGCCCCTCTCTCCTCCTCCCTCCCTGTCGCACCCGCAGACGCGTCCGTGGGGGCGGGCCAGGCGCTTCGCCCGAGACTTCCTCACCGTCTGAGAGCCTGAAGCTTCGCGGGTGGAGGGCGGGGTGGGTTCTCCAAGAGTGGCTCTCGCGAGAGCGCCGCGCACATCCGCCTCGATAGTTTGCAGCCGCGCCGCGGATGCAGGGCAGGTGGTGCTCCAGACGTGGCACTCGCGGCAGCGCCACGCACACTCGTCGTATCGTTTGCCACAGCTTCACGGATGCAGGGGGGGGGGGTTCTTTCCAGAGTTGTGGCTCTCGCGCGCACGTAGCCTCGAAGATGTGTGACTGATTCACGGATGGAGGGCGGGAGCTGTTCAAACTGTTGCGCTCGCACTAGCGCCACACTCATTCGTCACACAAGATTACAGCAGCTACAAAAATGCGTGGTCGAAGTCCCAGGCATAGCGTTCGAACACGACTTAGGACTGTCCGGACGCATTGGTCACCTTGATCTGCGGCGCGCTGAAGTCGCAGGAACGGTGTTGTGGCACGGTTCAGGATTCTCAAACGATTGCCTTCCAATAGCCCAATTCCAGCAGTGGACGTAAATTCTTTTCGGGACCTATGAAGAGGGAACTTGGAAGGAGGGTTTATTGTAACATCTTTGATGCATCTGGGCCTTACGCTGGTCTTCCTCCTCATCCGCCTCCTCCTCCTTCCCCTCCCCCTGCTCATCCGCAACCTCCCCCCCATCATCCTCCACTTCGGGGCCAAACTCTTGCGAATTATCCCCCCACATTCCCTCCTCCCCCCGCTGTTGCTACTCCTCAGGATCATCAGCAGCAGCAGTAAAGTCATCATCATCATCATCATCATCATCATCATCATCATCATCATCATCATCATCATCATCATCATCATCATCATCATCAGCAGCAGCGTCATAATCAGCATCAACAGCATAAACCACAGAATCCGCTGGCACCCTTGCGGGGCCATCAGGCTGCGAAGATTAGGCTTTCAGCTCCCTGTGCCAGTTGCAGTTTCTAGTTTCCGCTGTTACAGTCCTGCTTCCTGCTTCTTTACTGTCGATTGTTGCTGAATGTACGTGGGGGGGAGCCGAAAAGCGTCCTGGCTAGCGTCCCCGAATCGCGTTGTCTGAATTCCCGAGGGGGGTCGTGGGACACGTAAAAATCCATGATGTTCGCGTCCCCGAGGCTACTCCATATTCGCGTCCCCGAGGCCATAAACCCTTGTACAGTACGCAATGCTTGCGTCCACAAAGCCATAATCCCTCGTAAATTACCGCCGACCTGGCGTGTGTGTTTCAAAAATCCTCAGAACAGCCTGAGCCTCAATTCCTGGGCTTCAGCTCTACTGGGGGGTGGGTGCCAGGGTGGTTCTGCTGGGGTAGGGGGAGGGGGGGGGGGCATTCAATTCCCGGGGCGGAATCGGAGCTCCAGCTCACTCCGGGACGGCCCCCTCGCCCAGGAGGGCCCCAACATGGGCCAAGAGGGCCCCGACTCGCCGAAAAATCGCTTCAAGACGCCCAAGATATCCCCAAGACGGCTCCAGAAGCCTCCAAGATGCCCTCAGAAGCCCTAACAAGGCCTCCCAAAGAAGGCCCAAAAAGCAAAAAGTGTCCCATTCCCCTTGGGAAACGTACAACTTTAGCATATTCGCCTGTTGGGCCTTCTGAGCGTCGCAAACGCCCCAAAAGAACTCCAAAACGTCCCAAGAAGCCGCCAAGAGGGCTCCAAGACGGCCCAAAAAAGGCCCAAGATGGCCCAGGAGGCCCCCAGAAAGGCCCAAGAGGGCCCCAGGACGGGCCCAAGAGGCGCCTGACAGGGCGCCAAGACGGCAGAAGAAATGCAGATGACGGCCCAAGAAGCCCCCAGCAGGCCCCCAGAGGCCCCCAAGAGTCCTGGAGCCCTGAGGAGGCCTCGAAACGCTTCCAGCTGGTCCAGCAGAGGCCCCCTGAAGCCCGATAAAGGCTCCCAGGAGTTTCAAAACATGCATCCAAGACGCCTTCTAAAAAGGCCTCCAAACTACCTCCAAGACTCCCCCCGAGAAGCCCAAAACCGGCCCCAATGCTTCCACAACGCATACCTCTGAACACAAGCGCCGCAATGCAAAAGGTTCTTCCATGCTTTCACGTGTTTTCCCGTCTTCGGCGTCCTCCACATCCATGACGTCACAAGGGCCCGCAGGGGGCCGCGCGAAGGCCCTAGAGACCCCAAAAACACCATGGCTCCCAGCAGACACCGGTGATGCACAAGGCTCCACAAAAAGCGGTGACGCTGACAGCTCCACCTCTTCGACCTTCTCCTCCACCTCCATGTCTTTCTCCTCCAGCTCCACCTCTTCCTCCTCTTCCTCCTTTTCCTCTTCCGACTAGTGCTCCTCCCCCTCGCGTTCCAAAAAACAGGCGCTGACAAGAGAACTCGCCCCACCCAGACACGAACCCAAAAAACTCCCCAGGACACAACGCAACCTTCAACAAACAAAGCGAAGAAACGCACGCAGCCCAGCCCAACAAGAAACGAAACCAAGAAACGAGTTATTGAACATCATCCCAGTGCGACCCTACCTAGGAGTTGGAGCCTCTAGGAAAGCAACATTACTAGGAGCGGTAAACGCCGTCCTCTTCCTTCTCCTCATCGTCGTAGTTGTAGCAGTAGCGGACCCTACCTAGGAGTTGGAGCCTCTAGGAAAGCAACATTACTGGGAGCGGTAAACGCCGTCCTCTTCCTCTCCTCATCGTCGTAGTTGTAGCAGTAGCGGTAGTAGTAGTAGTAGTAGCAGCAGCAGCAGCAGAGCAGCAGTAGTAGTAGTAGTAGTAGTAGTAGTAGTAGTAGTAGTAGTAGTAGTGGTAGTAGTAGTAGTAGTAGTAGCAGTAGCAGTAGTAGTAGTAGTAGTAGTAGTAGTAGTAGTAGTAGTAGTAGTAGTAGTAGTAGTAGTAGTAGTAGTAGTAGTAGTAGTAGTAGTAGTAGTAGTAGTAGTAGTAGTAGTAGTAGTAGTAGTAGTAGTAGTAGTAGTAGTAGTAGTAGTAGTAGTAGTAGTAGTAGTAGTAGTAGTAGTAGTAGTAGTAGTAGTAGTAGTAGTAGTAGTAGTAGTAGTAGTAGTAGTAGTAGTAGTAGTAGTAGTAGTAGTAGTAGTAGTAGTAGTAGTAGTAGTAGTAGTAGCAGTAGTAGTAGTAGTAGTAGTAGTAGTAGTAGTAGTAGTAGTAGTAGTAGTAGTAGTAGTAGTAGTAGTAGTAGTAGTAGTAGTAGTAGCAGTAGTAGTAGTAGTAGTAGTAGTAGTAGTAGTAGCAGCAGCAGCAAAGTAGTAGTAGTCGTCGTTCGTCGTCGTAGTCGTTCGTCGTCGTCGGCCGTCGGCGTCGTCGTAGCGTCGTCGGCGCCGTCGTCGGTCGTCGCGTCGTCGTCGTCGTCGTCGTGTCGTCGTCGTCGTAGTAGTAGTAGTAGTAGTAGTCGTAGTTAGTAGTAGTAGGAGTAGTAGTAAGTAGCAGTAGTAGTAGTAGTCGTGAGTAGTCGTAGTAGTAGTAGTAGTTAGTAGTAATAGTAGTTAGGCAGTAGTAGTAGTAATAGTGGTGGTGGTGGTGGTGGCAGTAGTAGTAGTGTAGTAGTAGTAGTAGTAGTAGTAGCAGTAGTAGTAGTAGTAGTATAGTAGTAGTAGTAAGTAGTAGTAGTAGTAGTAGTAGTAGTAGTAGTAGTAGTAGTAGTAGTAGTAGTAGTGGTAGTGGTAGTGGTAGTGGTAGTGGTAGTAGTA